TGCATCGAGTGGGTAATTCTTGGAAAGGCTATGCATTCTATCTGTATCTGTGTTAAAGTTGGTACTTTTTTGGTTTTGAATTATTTCTGTAGTTGTCAATGTTGTTCTCGATGGAATCTGGTAAAAATAATTATGAACACCACTGGACATAATACAACCCAATATAAGCAGACTAACTAACTGAGCAGAGCTTGCACTTTCTTTTTGTAATTTTTTTGTTACATGTACTCGTATAACATATACATTAAAATACCCAGAATAATGTAAATAGACATTGCAATGTTCGTATTGTTTTGGGCATTGAACTCGTGACCATTGGAAAATGGGGTTAAACATTGCCTCATTTTCCGACGTTCCGATTTCCAGTTTACTTTACAAAGATTGAAAACTTACTAATATAAAAAAAAATTAACTAGCCATGAGAGATATTTCAGAATAATTTCTATGAGGGGTCATCGTATTACGTGAAAACTACTCTGCCAAATTGGATGCGATTTTTACAGTTGTCTTTTTTAAGGTCTTAGTTGAAAACTTCATTATATCTTAACTAACTAAATATTATTTCTTGATACGTGATCTATTTTATTGTTCCTAAAACCAATGCATACGAAGTAGTGGTTAATTAAGAAAAAAAAATTAATCACCAGTAAAGGATGGTAGGTGAGAACAAAGTTTGGTTTGTCGGACTATTGTGACGAATTCAACGTAAGTATTGTAATTGTATGTGGAATATTTATACGTTATATCGACATTTTAAAACAAATAAATTATGTAATTAATTAATGTGTCACATTCGATTTGCATATAATTATGTTTATTGGCGAATATTAATTAGGTTCATTTCGAGCACGGTCTTTTAGATGCGTGACTATACTTCACAGTAACTGTTAAAAGTGATACTTTGCCATAATTCCAGTCATTTATTACAATGAACGAATAACAGTATGAAGGTAAGAAGTAAATAAGTAAGTTTTACCAGAGGGAGACTTTGTACAAAAGTTGATTGCTTGAGTACCTCTGTCCCATTCGTGTTTTAACCGTGAAGCAGTTGTGTTTGCATGGCTGTGTTTCGGTTTGAAGGGTGGGATATGGCGTGAATTTACTGGGTACAGAGGAATAACACCTGAGTCCTCAGGAATGGCAACGCATGGGGGGTATCATGGGCGAAACGGTATACTTTGTTATGTCCGTGGTACTGCTCTTGTCTATAGGCGACGGTTACCACTTTCCATCAGCTGGGCCGTCAGCTTGTTTGCCATTCTAAGTTGTATAAGAAAAAAAAAGCTGGTCAATTATAAATCACGTCAAAGGTTTCTGGACCTACCGCACGTTGTCATATCATCACTATATCACCTGTTAACTGCTTGGGCAGCCAATAGCTACTAATAGTCAGTGGTTATCGCGCTTAGCAAGCGGGTTGGTAACTACAGTTAGGCTTTCATAGATTATTATAATAATAGGAATAGATACTTGCTATCTAACATTGTAAGATATGTAAATAATAAATATATTTACATATTTTAATTAAATAAAAATGCGATAACCACCTACATGTGAGTACCTATAAGTACCTAACTTAATGCTAGTATTAGTAGTAAATATTTTCACTGTTGATTCTAGAATTTATTTACTGTCCTATTATTTTAATATTTTATCAATATGTTCTCAAAGGAATATTTTCGAGGTGTCTAATGGAATTTATTGAACTTTCTTTCCATCTATGAATAAAGCACGAGTAATTAAGGAATACAGATACAGATTTTTAAAAAAAAAAAAACATACAGTAATCGAAAATTTAGGGAGAAGGGAAAAAAGTACCTACATTTTCGAACTCGGTATGGATTTATCTTAGGCATAATTTTTTTTATACAATGGCAAACAAGCTGACGGCCCACCTGATGGGAAGTGGTAACCGTCGCCTATAGACATGAGCAGTACCATGGACATAACAGAATATACTGTTTCGCCCATGATACCCCTCATGCGTTGCCATTCCTGAGGACTCAGGTGTAATTCCTCTGTACTCAGTAAATTCACGCTATATCCTACCCTTCAAACCGAAACACAGCCGTGCAAACACAACTGTTTCACGGTTGAAACACGAATAGGACAGAGGTACCCAAGCAATCGACTTTTGTCCAAAGTCTCCCTCTGGTAAATATTATTAAAATATTTTTTAATACCTGTGTAATGTTCTCGCATGGTAATGACACGCTATTCCATTGAATATCACGAAATACTTATTCCTCACTAAATTTTTTTCCTCATATACTTAAAATAGATGTATTTAAATATACCATTACTTTTATCAATGATCACGGTAATTAAAGCAATTTTAACGGAGTAAAAAATAGACAGGTCACATTGCTTATGCCATTCAAACACACATTCGGCAAACGCGAACCTCATGAATATTAATATCAAGTTTTTACCCGTAACGGTGACAAAAATAGTATTGTTCCGTAAAAAAATAGCCGCTTCATAAATAACAATCAGTTCGAAACAAAAGAATAAGTTATTTTTATATACCAAGTTTCTACTAAGTATCGGCTACCGTGCGTTCGGCAGAATGTCTTTGTCTCTTATTGTTTTGTTAGACTATTTTGAATAAAAAAGTACCTAACGCTTTTCGCAATCCGTACAGACGTAGCTATTGTTTTGATTTGGTTCATTTTACCTTGGTTCTGTCCTACTCTAAATTTTCCGTTGTTACATTGAATATTTCGAAAATATTCTACCTACTTAGAGCGTGATAATTTGACTATTTTCAATAGACTTCAAGAAGAAGGTTGTATTTTTTTTTTACGTTTGTTACCTCATTATTCCGTCAATTGTAAACCGATTTTGATTATTTTATTTTTTATCTGAAAGGATATACTTACAGATCGGCCTTTTAGAAATGTTATCAAGATTGGTTCAACAGTTTAGTTTTTAAAGCTAAATAACTGGTTTTATCACAATCGAAGTCGCTTTTTTGTGGAATTCAATTGAATTATTGTCTCACAGATGGAGACTTTGTATAAAAGTGGATTGCTTGGGTACCTCTGTCCCATTTGTGTTTCTATTGTGAACCAGTTGTGTTTGCATGGCTGTGTTTCGGTTTGAAGGGTGGGATATGGCGTGAATTTACAGGGTACAGAGGAATAACACCTGAGTCCTCAGGAATGGCAACGCATGGGAAGTATCATGGGCGAAACAGTATACTTTGTTATGTCCATGGTACTACTCATGTCTATAGGCGACAGTTACCACTCTCCAACAGGTGGGCTGTCAGATTGTTTGCCATTCTAAGTTGTATAAAAAAAAATGTTACTTGTATTGTTAATTATTATATTAATTATTACATATAATAATAAATATTACATGTATAAATTATATTATATGTTTAAATGTAACTATTACTTTTTTACTTACATACTTTATAATATTGATAGAATTCTAAAAGGAATCGTCATATGTGTTCCGCCATAGAATAGGCCACCCCTTCCTTTACCGTGGGTATCATAAGAGGCGACTAAGGGAACTTATGGTCGAAGGATGGGCAGCAGCGTTCCTTGGGAGGAAAGGGATTGTTAGTAATGAGGATTAATAGCCCCATTGCTAGCAAGCCCTGTCAGGTCGACCTCCATGCGGTTCCTCTTGGAAAACATTGTGACTAATACTTGTTGCATTGGTCACGATGGGCTAACAGATCTGCTTTCGTGCTCGTCTGTCATCCTTTTGTCACTGATGACCCGCCAGTGTTTACCACACTGGTGGGATACCAGTGACAGATGATAGCGCAGGCGGGGTTACCATTCCATTAAAAAAAAAGCAGCGTTCCTTTTAAAATATCTCAAAAAGCCTAACAGCGGTTGCCAACCCGCCCGCTAAGCGTGGCAACGACTGGTAAAACTCCTCTTACGGGGAAGGCTTATGTTCAGCAGTGGACAATTAACGGCTGTAATAATAAATTCTAAAAAGAATTTATGTTCTTTTTAAAAAGAAGATAAAAAGTCTTTGTGAATGTTAACGTTTCATTGAGATTGTTAACAGATTTTAAAAAGAGGAATGTTCTTAATTGGCTATTCTTTCCCTTTTTATGATTGTTGCTTCATAACTCTGTTAGTCGTAAACCGAATTCGAAAATTCTTTTTTTGTCTTAAAGACTTATTGATTAGTCCCATAGAAATTTTATCATAATCGGTTTAGTAGTTTCGTTTTTAAATAAAAATAATTGGTTTTGCTACAATCGAAGTCGGCTTTTTTTTGTATCTTAGAATGGCAAACAAGCTGACGGCCCACCTGATGGAAAGTGGTAGTCGTCGCATATAGACATGAGCAAGATAGACATAATATAACAGAGTAAACTGTTTCGTCCATGATACCCTTCATGCGTTGCCATTCCTGAGGACTCAGGTGTTATTTCTCTGTACCCTATAAATTTACTGCCACATCCCACCCTTCAAACCGAAACACAGCCATGCACAATTGCATCACGGTAGAAATACGAATGGGACAGAGGTGTCCAAGCAAATGACTTTTGTACAACGTCTCCTTCTTGTAATTTTTTGTAGAACAATCTTAATTATTAAATATGTAATAACAAATTACTGTAAATAGCTATCAATAGTTACACTGCTATCATACTTATGTGATTATAAATGTAAATAGATTTTATTAATTTAAAATGTAGAAGTTGGTAAGGATAGATGCTTGTTATTCTTTCAGTTAAACATTACTAATCAGATTAGAATGAAATTTTTTACACAGCTACGTAAAACCGTAGGATACAGCTAGTAATTACATGATTTAATTTGTAATTATAAATTTTCAATATTTTTCACTGCATATTTTTCTGTTTTTCCAAATGTTAATTGCGACAAAATGCTATATATAGCATTATGTCCGATTTTTGTACTAGACTTTTTTTTAATGTGGTTGATAAGGAACAAATAAATAATTTTATTGTCAAAATAAAACAATGGAATAAGGATAAAACTTTGATTTTTATTGTTATCTTCAGCACGCAAACGAAATTCTCCAATAGTTACAATAATAAATATCATTTCCTTTAATAACTTAAATATCATAGATACACAATAATTTGGTTATTAATTAACATAAGTCACAATTTTTACTTTATGTGTACTGATTTTAAACAATTATGCATGATTTTCAAAAATGTATTTCGAATCGTGATTTTTAATGTCAAAGTTAATCAATTAATAATAATATTAATTTTAACAATTTATAATAATAAGTATTTTCTATCAACTTCAGTTCGATTGAAAGGCCGGTGCAATATATTTTATGAACAATGAACAATTTGGAAGTGACTTTAAAAGGTGGTATTTTCGTGTTCATTACATATTAATTTTGTTACAATTGCACACTAAATACTTAAACTATTATGTTAACATTTAAAAAAAAATCATTTGATAAATAAATTAACAGTATATCTATCTATGAGTTGTTGATATATCAATGGTATATGTGAATGTTATACAAATGAATTATGTTTGGTATTTTTAATTTACAGACTTAAGTAGATAGTTATTTCTTATTTACATCAAAAATATCCAAAATAATCCTTATGAAATTTATAAAAACTTATATTTGGAGCAAAGCATTATATGGATGTGAAACATGGACAATGACGTAGAAAGAAAGAAAGATGCTTGAGGTATTCGAAATGTGAACATGGAGGAGAATAGAAAGGATAAGCTGTACAGAAAAAAGTAACGAATGAGGAAGTCCTGAAAAGAATGAACGAGAAAAGAATATTAATTAAAATAATAGAGAATAGAAGAGGCAAAATACTGGGCCACCTTATACGACATGACGATTTTTTTAAGAGCATAGAAGGAAAAATAAAGGGCATAAGAGGAAGATTGAGAAATAACTACATGGGACAGATAAAAGAAACACTAGGTGTCATGTCGTATGGGGAGGTCAAGGATAGAGCTCGCTGGACGAAGATGCATGAATTAGTTGCACCGACAAGAGGAAACTCTTAAATGAAAAGAGACACATATCAAAAGTGTCTAGAGATCAGGTACATTTTTAAATATAAATATTTATCAAAAAAAAAAAAATGTATATTCTGTGTTTTCATCATTGACACAAATCACACAATGGCTCTCAAACAGCTTAAAAACGGCAAGACACCGGGGAGGACTGAATTACAGCAGAGCTTCTGAGACCGGGCGGTAAACCGGTATTTGTAGTTCTTCAGAAGCTATTTAATTTCGTCATCCAGAAGAGTGTTACGCCCGAGGCTTGGAGTAGAAGTGCGGTAGTCCTGATCTTCAAGAGGGATGACAATACCCTTTTGAAGAAGTATAGACCAATATCCCTTCCGAAACGCCTACGTACTGTTTTAGAGCTTGATGACGTTCAGCCAATCATGAAATGATGATGATATGAATCCTGATTGACAGTTCATTTTCTATTTAAAAAAAAAATATTTAAATAAATCAATTAATCAATCAATAACGATTCAAAAAGTCAAAATCATAATTCTTAATTGCAGTCATAGTCTAAAACGTACTTAATTCCTAGACACTTTTGATGAGTATATTACAAAACAATACACAAATATTTAAAGCAATTTAAGTAAAATTATAATTTGTTCCTAAAATTTTTTTCTAGTATTTAAAGACTATACTGGGATGTCTCAGTGGGCCGATTCTCGTGCATTAGAATTCGAAAAAAAAATTGAAAATCAAACATTTTTCGAACGATAATAAAGTTAACTAATTTTAATTTGATAGTTTTGCGAAAATACGATTTTACAGACCATCATAAACTTAATAGTCACTTTGAATAAAATCTATTAGAAATTTAGTTCATATTGGTCTTTATAATTAAGATTTCGCTGTGATATCAAATTTTAAAATTAGCCGTAGGTTTAGAGAAAGATTGACTCCAATGACTAATTTCGAATAACCATTTACAATGACAATAAAAATCTCCGTCGTCAAGTAATCGATGATTCGCACAACGTAAATTCTCAGTACACAACTATATGTCTATATAAAACAAAGTTATCACACGTTACACCATAAGGATAAATAAATAAAATAATTCTTTTTTGGCCGATATAAATACATTCTGATTAGTTTAATTAGATACTTATTACATAACACCTATCTCCCTATTCTTAGTATACGACGTATTTAAAGGACTAATAGGTAACTTCACCGTTTGTATATATTGTACAATATTGGTAAAATAACGTGTTGGTGTTCTGATATATCGAATATTAATTATCCTGTTGTGTTGTATTAAATACATCGAGTGTTTGTATTTCTCCAATTGCAATCCCTCACTTGATAATAAATAATAAAATATAGAACAAACTTAGAACAAGTAAAACGGAGGTATTCCTGTGATTATTTCTTTTGTTCTTTGTACTTAATCAAGATATACAGTCTTGTTTACATATTGGTCACACGTTTCTAAAGTCTAATCGCTATATTACATAACATGGGGCATAACACACGTCTATGTACTTAAATCTATTCGGGATGTTCTCTAAATCATCTATGAAAGTCGAGCTTGCCGTTGTCTATCTACTTACTATCTATAATTTACTTTACTTATATATAACATTAGGTAAAAATAATTTCGTATTGTTTAGTTTTTAAGCACAGTATCATGAAAAATAAGGTTTAGATTTTAAAATAAACATATTATTATATGTTTACATAATAAAATAATCGAACCCAGTTTTTGAATTCATGATTTTTATGTGTACCTACTTATATTCTTTGGCCTTATAAATCAATTTAGAAGTAGTATTAAAACAATTCTAAAGTTACATTATCTATGTTTTGCTCATTTCTACAATTAGTTAATTATAATTATCATTTCGGCTCAAGTAACTTGCTTTGACTAGGATTGTTAACAGTAGTCTTAAAAAAGTTAAGCATGTTGAGCTCGGCCAAGATGAATAAAAAATGCTATACGATCGGCGCTTCTTTCTCCGCACTTATTACACATGAAGGGATCATTATATCCATGAAAACCCATATGTATCGTATGCATTGTAAGGTCGCCGAAGGTAATATCGCAGTACTGACACGAGTAAGTATTCTGCGCCTTGGTAGATGGCGTGTCTTCATCGGATTCCGTTTCGGAGGCTTCAGCGTCCCGCATTTTATCATCCTCGTGTTGTAATCTTAAAGCTGCAGGCTGCAGTTTAAAAGCACGGCCTTTTCTTCTATTTTTGAGTGCCGTAGTAGGTGTTGCAGGTGCTTGTGGTTCTGTAGGTGGCGGTGAACCTGCCTCGCTAGCTTTGCCGTTTGTAAGGTCAAGAGCGTCGTTTGATTGTACCGGAGAAGTATTTCGCATGGTCGGTATACGAGGCAAATCGACTGGTGACACGGCCGGTGATGTTATTGGACCCGTTTCTGGTTGACGCTCTCCGTAGGAAAGGCGTTGGTGTAAAATTGAAGGGGGTGGCGACGCTGCTGTCTTATCAGAAATCGTTTCGCATTGTTTTGGTGATGTTCTTTGCTCGTAGTTATTATTTGGAGGGAAGAGAAACGAGGGAGGTAAAAGTGGTGGCAAGTATGGTAAGCTTACTGGAAAATGACTTCCGAATAGAGAATGCGTTGGGGGCGGTGGCTGCGATTGATTGGCATTATTGTTCATAGAAACTTGTTGTTCAAAGATTTTTGAGAGAGGCTTCTGTTTAGGACCCCGTCGAGTTCCATAGACATCTATTATTGGGAGAGGATTTGGTGTGCCGTCTATATTAAGTACCATTGCTGGATTATGTTGGTATTTACGGAGATGTAATTTCAGAGAATGGCAATACTTTGTCGCATAGCTGCAGTCAGCGCAGCGGTATTGATACACATTAGAATGTGACTTGAGGTGTGAGTTGAGCATAGATTTATTGACGCATGAGTACGAGCACTGACTACATTGGAATGGCTTTGATCCCAAATGATTTCTCATGTGATATTCGAGATGGTGTTTGTATTCAGTTACAAATGGGCATTTGCGACAGCATAACATTTTTTCTGGTTTAATATGTTCTTTACTGTGTTCCCAAAAACTAAGCTTGGTGACAGCTACGAATTCGCACTGTTTACATTTGAATGTTTTTACTTTTCCATGTGAGTTTACGGCTGGAACCCTGAGTCCAGGTTCTTCATCAAAATCGTCCTCGAGGCCAGATCCATCACGACTATCGTCGATATCTTGTTTGCTCTGAACACCATCAAAGCCAGAATCATGGAATCTTTCAAACGATCTTCGCTCCTGTTCTTGTTCCAAAGATGATGGTGTTCTGGGTGATTTTGGGGGTGTAGAATCTGCATGAGATATTGGCGTGGATACATGAGCAGGAGGTACTTTTGAGGAATATGCAATTTCGTAACTTGGTGATGGTTCACGTCCATCATTGATTTTGTGCTCGAAACCTGGAGGTGTAAGTAAGTTGTATGGTACTGCGCCACGGTAGGAATCTAGATGAACTCCCAAATTTGCTTTAGCTTTGAGCTGCACATTATCATAGTAGGGCGACGGTTCTCCAGCGCTGCCGACGCTGTGGGGAGAGTGACCGTTAGAGTCTTTACTCGAGGATGAAGGAGAAGCACTATGAAACCCTTCGGAGTAAAATCCACTTGTTTGTTCTTTCGAGAAGCTCGTATCGTCCATCGGTTCCGTTTTCTAGAAAGATAACATACAGAATATTGGTCACCTGGTTATTGAGCTAAATAAGTTCAAATATAATTTCTTGAAAATAAATTCAACTTACTACTGCAGTTGGTTGCAGAAGGGGACCCCAGGGTTGCGTGTGAGCGGAGTGTGGAGCTGGCGGCATGCCGGCGGGGGATGCGCAACTTATCATACCTGAGACAAATAACCATGACTTTTAGATATATTATACATTTTTATGTATTTTGCACTTTTGTTCAATTCTTCCATAGCGTAATAAACAATCGTAAATATTTGCTGACGGATCAAATGCCTTTACAATGTAAAATGCGGAAAGGTTGAATCACGTATTAAAGGTGTCATTGTTGCAATGTAATTAAATAACAAATTATTTATAAAAGATTCCAACGATTCATTAGTAATAAGAAATATTATATTTAGTTAAAGAATTCTGCTATGCAATATTAAAAATGTAAAATTTTTTAAAGATGTTTCAATGTTTGATATTCAATTAACACTTATAGAGCCGAATAAACTTGAATGAAATTCTGTTCATAAATAGATCTTATTTTTGATTATTGATACTTACGATACTCTTTATCTTAATAAGTTAGAGAGATAAACACGAAACCATGATGCAATCTAGTTAATAAGTTATAAAAAAATCCTATGTCGTAGGCAATTGAAGTTATTAATTTTCAGGGCTCGAGTGATAATATGTGAAAAAGGCGACTGTAAGGACTTGGTTGAAATTCAAAACGCAGATGGATGACATTCTAAATCTTACTTAAATCAAGTTGCACGTAGCAGTCACTGATGTTATAATTATTCTATTTTAAAATATAATATGTATTAAATGAACTCATTGGAAACTCATTTGAATATTTGATTATAATTATAATTTTTGTTATTATATTTTCCTATTAGTTACTATTCATTACGTCCTTATTAGCAAATTGTTAATGATAATTACGTACAACTATTAGATTATTACAATGATAAATTAATATTTGCATTTTATTTTATAATAGCTACGTTATTGGTATAGATACATTGACGGAGTACTAGTTAGTAGTCATAGATAAGGACCAAGTCGGCTCAGTTAGCCTAAAACGACGAATTTTAAGAATTAATTACAATGGTTTCCGGAGCGATTATATGGAGGTTCATACGACATTGTTAGCAATTGTACCCGTCGGGGGGAAAGGAGGGATTGTTAGTAATGGAGACTGAGAATCCCATTGCTAGCAATATACCGAACCAGGTCGACCTCCTCGCGATTCTCCCTGGAAACTATCATGGTTAATTCCTGACGAATTCATCATGATGGGCTAACTGGTCTGTTTTCATTCTCATCTACCACCCTTCACTGGTGCTCCGCCAGCGTACCCCGTTAGCGCAGGTGGGGTTACCATACCATTTTCACCCATAAAAAAATAAAAGATTGTACCCGTCGAGCCCATTACTAAAAATTCTTTTGCCCGGCCTAAGACAATTGACAATAACAACAATACGAATTATCATTCAAAATATGATGTACCTTTATTATGTTTGAATAGAAGTGAGAGATTTTGTTTACTATATTTATGTTCATTGTGAGCAGGTAAACATCTCATCGTATCTGAATAGTTGGTAACTACATTGAAATTACCTTTTTTCACCATAAGTGGAATTAATTTGAATTATACCGGCGCGGAACAAATATATTTTTGTTTATAATTTATCTCTTAAAAATTTCTTTTTAATATTATAAAATATACTATGCGAATATATATTAAGAATTGTATTAAAAATTTTATTTACAGATCAGTAAAAAAATGAGAATAGTTGTTTTACCATTTCGTTTTTCATCTAAGCAGTGCTAATGTATTTATTAAATATTCTAGGTAGATATGACTGTAACATAAAAAAATATATATAGAAAAATATAAGTATATATTAAATTAAAAAAATTTTCTATCTATTAATAATTTAGGATTATGCATAAAAATATCTTTAAAAATATATAGATCAATGCATTAATCTATAATATTAAATAAGATTATCAACACTTACCTTCTTTCTGGTAAAGTTTTTAAACACAACACACTAATATAAACATCAATTTATTTTCACTTCGGTCTTTTAAAGTCACTATAAAATAAACACAAATAATTCAGCAACGTTTTTTGTTTTTTTTTTGAACAATCTTCAGCACGCGCGATCTGAGCGGTATAGTCCGCTTGGCACTGCGGCTTGCATTCAACTGAAAAAAAGCCTGTCAATTTTTATGCCTCAAACATCGATAAATGTATTCTACATTAGAAGGCGACGAGTTTTCTGGTGTAAGCGAGAGACCAATAGTGTCAGATATACACGTCTCTTTCGCGCCCCCACAGCCTATTTTTACTCGAACCAATACGACGCGTGCTACTGTGGGGTGGGGATTAACTTATTAAGTTATTGTTTATGCGATATTAATAATAAAAAAATAAGCATCCCTTGGCAGAAGTTGTTATTGTAATAAACTGTATGCGTTATACTATAGGTTATTAATAGACAATATGATATTGTTACGTAGGGAAATGAGATTGTTATCCATTATATTGGTGACAAATCTAACGTGATATTTATGTTTTGTTTATATATTTTATAAATAAATTGTTTTAGAAATATTTGTTTGATTTAAGTATGTTTATAATAAAAGAAGTCAGCAAATAAGTAATTACATCTACTACTGGACGTAATAGCTTAGTAAAAACATACACGTGCACGATCCATCTATTTTAGACTTTCTATATACCAACGTTCCCTTGTCACATCGCACTTCTTTATGAATAAATAAACTACGCGTATAAAAAGCTCGCGCGTTGGAAGGAGGCGCTTTGAAGGGGCGTCAAGCTTTTTATGTGAACCGATCAGCCAATCGTAGTGTGGCATTAAAAAAGGAACGATTTTGTATTTTTTGTCACTCATCCACTCAACCAATAAAATGCGGAACTTTTTTATTTTTATGACTTTATATTCTATATATGTTACATTGTTTCTTTCTCAAAATGTAGCTACGACATACAGATAATAGAATAAGAAATTCACAGTTTTATATATCTACTAGTAATAACATTGTATCTAATAATTACCTTTTTCAAAATTATGTACCTTTTCTTTTATAACCTCACTAATGAAAATATATGTGTTTAATTATATGTATTTAAATATACATATTAAAACCTAATATTCAGTTGATTTAATTATATATATTTATTGATGTTAAGTATATTAACTTCAATAAATATAAATTTTTATTCTATCTAAATTCATATTTATTGAAGTTACTATATAAAAAAAATAGTTTATTCTATATAAATACTATATCTATGTTTAAATATATCTAATTTAAATGATTATTTTTACATTCCTTGTTTTACTTATATTTTATTTACCTACAGGTATATTACCTACGTGTAATGAGGACTAAATTATAGTATCTTTATTTTCTCCAATGTTATTATGTGTGTTTATATGAGTAATGTCTTAATAAATATTTAAAATACAACATGACTCCCAATAGTAAATATTGAATAATAACTGTTACCTATTAAGAAGATACACACACATTATCGAAAATAATTATCAATTATACCTATTCTATATTATATATACCTACAAAAAAATTGTCGAATTGAAAACCTCGATTTTAAAGTTTGATGGATAGGTATTAGGCGTTTGGTTTAACTCTTATTAATAATTAAAAAAAAAAAAACATTCGTGATAAAATAAAAACACGGGAGTGAACCACATTGATTCCAAAAAGAATTATTCAAATTGGTTAAAATAACATAAGCTTATCAAAACGTTTTACGTTAACTAAACGGGACTATATGTAATCGCAAGAAATTTTTATTACATATAGATACGAGCAAGTCTGCCCGTACATACGATGCGTTATACAAATATTTACTGGTCCATTTATGGAAAAAATAATTTCCTAATAGTTCTAGTTTGATTAACTACAATTTTATCTGTTGGGCAGTATCACACAATCATCGTCGCAGGGTTGTCACGCCGCTACAATATATATAGATATATATTGTCATCCTTATAAGTCCATAAAAATCCCATAGAAAATGGAAATTATAACATATTTATATATCTACTGACAATTCACAACAGTGTCACGGGTATAATTTTTCTCAAAAACTAATAAATCGTTGACCAGAGGGAGACTTTGTACAATAGTCGTTTGCTTGGGTACTTCAGTCACGTTCGTGTTTCTACCGTGAAGCAATTGTGTTTGCATGACTGTGTTTCGGTTTGAAGAGTGGGATATGGTAGCAAATTTACAGGGTACAGAGGAATAACACCTGAATCCTCAGGTATGGCTATACATGGGGAGTATCATGGGCGAAACAGAATACTTTGTCATGTCCATGGTACTGCTCATGTCTATAGGCGACGGTTAGCACTTTCCATCAGGTGGGCCGTCAGCTTGTTTGCCATTCTAAGTTGCATAAAAAAAAGCACCCTGACGTTTCATACATATATATATATATATATATAAATATACTGTATGTCTATACCATTTATTTTTATGCTTACATGATATTTTATCAAGTAATAAACCATAATGTTATGTGTTTTAAAGTACTACAGTCAATATTTCGCAATCTAAATTATATCTACTAAATTGTTATTGCACTAAAGTACATAATGAATCAGAGGTACAATTACAGAATGTAACATTAACAAATATTAGTATGCTAATATTAGAAAAGATAATGAGAGTTTACTTAATTGCTGTTATTAAAAATAACTTATTTTTACAATAAAATTTTAGCATCTAAATAGTGTCAGTAATTAGGAGGGATTATTTGTAATGCATACTCGTAAACATAGATAAAATTCCATAGGAAATAATGAGTTTTCTGCTAACAATACGCCCTGTTTAGTCGATCATCGCGCGATGCCGCCTGGAAATCAATTTGGTAATTCCTGATAAATATGTCATCATGGGCTAACTGATCTGACTTCATCTTCACCTCAACTATCAACACTGGTATTCGGCCAGTATATACCGATGGCGCAGGCGGCGTTATTCTTTTTTTATACAACTTAGAACAGCAGACAGGTTGACAGCCCACTCAAAGGAAAGAGATAACCGTCGCCCTATAGGCAACCGTATTATGGACATAACAGAATATAGTGTTTCGCCAATGATACCTTTCATGTATTTCCATTCCTGAGGACTAAGGTATTACGACTCTGTATCCCGTAATTTTATTGCCATATCCCACCCTTTAAACCGAAACATAACCAAAACACAACTCCACAGAAATACGATTGATACTCGAACTGGACAGAGGTACTCAAGCAGATGACTTTTGTATAAAGTTGAAATGTGAGACTTCGTACAAAATTTTTTTCTCTGATCTCTTAGTATTTTATTTTTATTCCATTAAAAAAATAGTGACAGCCCTACGGATGCGACTCTTTATCTAAGCGTTAACTAAAGTAACACGCGATAATTAGAGGAAAAAATATTAAATTATATCAGTAAGGCGCCAGTATTAATGTTTTTTATTATTATTAACCGATTAACACAAGAAACGTTATGTTAGGTAATGGTCAGAATATAGGGCACAAAAAAATCTACGCATCAGTGACTTTGTTATGTAGCGTTAGACCATACATACGTAAAAAAATAGTATAAAAAATCGGAATATGGCAATTGTGGCAACAACATGGTAAAGCGTATGAATTTGTACAGAGGGAGACTTTGTACAAAAGTCGATTGCTTGGCCCACTCGTGTTTCTACCGTGAAGCAGTTGTGTTTGCATGGCGTGAATTTACAGGGTACAGAGGAATAACACCTGAGTCCTCAGGAATGGCAACGCATGGGGGGTATCATGGGCGAAACAGTACACTCTGTTATGTCCATGGTACTGCTCATGTCTATAGGCGACGGTTACCACTTTCCATCAGGTGGGCCGTCAGCTTGTTTGCTATTCTAAGTTGTATAAAAAAAAAACAAGACTACATTTAAATAGGGTACTGGTTTTGATTCTCGTGTGATTGAATATGGTAATGATCTTTATACATTGATGGCCATAATTTTTTTATTCCATTTTTTAAATTATCTGCCTCTTAGTAAGTAAGCAATAAATATAATTGTCCATATCTTATTAAAAAAAATTAAACAAATATTTGGCTTTTTGTATAATAATATGTTATCTACATATTATCTTCTTATTTTTTAAGAATGTAGGTAAGTACATACACAGTTAAATTGGTTTCAAATAAATTTAGTTCTAACCTTAATTGCACTCAACTGACAGAATAGTAATGATATTTTTTAATTTTACTAATGGTCTAGTTCACGTAATGCCTACGTAGGTACCGTTATTTGGGTTGACACGTTATGAAACCAGTAATATCTAGTAATGGACATGATTTGTATTGACTTAAACATTATTAGAGTTTGCTTTTACAAAATCTAATGAAAATATAAACAGTTTATCAGTAGTTTACGAGTACTGACGTCTAATACGTAGAACAAATCAAAACTCGATAAGATATACTAGATATACCTACCAGAATAAAAAAAAGTAAATAAGGCCTGTCAATAAATCTTAATGGAAATATAACACTACGTTACGTTACACGATTATAGTACCCGTTAAACTGATAGCTGGAATGAATAGGTAATGAGTCATAGATAAAAAGTGCCAAATATATGTGGTATCCATCACGTCTAGTTTTCGACGTAGATGTCAATCATTATTTTAACTACCCTCAGTTTAGGCGTATAAGAAACAGTTGAGGTTTTCGATGTTATTATACTTTTTTATTGTTTTTTTTTTTTTAATTCATAAATTGTTTCTATTTGATAACCTCGATATCTCTGAACGATATATTTGAAAATCCAACATGACTACTGAACTAAGTGGCCGTCGCAACTGCAAAAATGCACCAAATAAGTTTTGTTACGTTTGTGGACAGTATATTGTGAAATCTACTAGCTATTTTACTCGGACTACCGGATGGATTTACTAAATACTGTTGTTTTCTTTGTTTGCGGGACAGCCGAGCCACTGAAAAGCACTATACTACAAAAGTATGGCCTGAAAGGTCAGAGTTTGTTTGCGGAAAAGCGAATGTGAAACATACACCATTAGTAGATACTAAAAATATAATTTTACTATCACTCTACATAAAACTTGGTCTGATAAAAAGTTTTGTTAAGGCTATGAATCAACAGGG